GAGCAATTTGTTTAGGTAATTGCCAAAGTAAAACAAACATAGAAAGAAAAACATCTGGGAGGAAAAATTGGTAGGAATGATCTGGCTGTACATTTGCTTCCTATTCCCCATCAGTCAACAGCCTCTTACTATCTGCAATGTGAGAAAAGCAGAGGGGGAAGGTTGCTTTAGGGCTTTTTTGATAGTTTTGAGACTCAATTTAAACAACAAACATAGAGGAAGGAGAGCAGATAGACCAATTGCCTGTTTTTCAATGCCTTTGAAACAACCAAAGGGTTAATGAAGAACATCATGGTCTGTAAACCCAGCACTGGCAGGGCATCAGACTGGCACTGGCACCACTGCTGTTTCCTTTGTATCTTTCCCTTAACTTCCCAGCAGGGCTAAATTAACAGACCCTATGAGAAAGACCCACCTCTGATCATAAGGGAATTAGATTTTCCTTCTTTCTGGCAAAGCAGATAGGAACCATCAAATGTAAAAAAAGCAATGAGCAATGGCAACAGCATCTGCATTTATGGAGGACAATACAGGGGCAGTGCTAGAATTAATAGCATTTTATGCCAAATTCAGAGCTGGTGCCAGGGGAAGGGAGCTCTGTCCCAGACTGTTACATCTGCTGGGAGTAAGGCTAAATGGAGCCCATTGAGCATGATGAAAACATTATGAGGTTATTACAACAACTTGTTTGAAAATGTGCAGCGGGAAGCCAGCAACGCCAGATGAATACAAAACCCGAGCCCAGGAGCAGTGTCAGGCAGCATAAATAAAGTTTTGTCCTCGTGTCCATTATGAACCTCGTGTTTGTTGTTTGGGACATAACCCATTCCCTTTTAAAAAAAAGAAACTTAACCAGAGGGCTGGAACTTGGCAGGCCAGCCCCATCCTGCTGCAGTGTTTGTGCAAACCTCAGCTCTGCTCAGACTGCTGCAACTGACAGGAGAAGGGCAGAGGGGAAAAAAAAAAAAAGAAAAAAAAAAAAAAAGAGTGGTAATTAGCCAAAAGGTTTCAGCTCCATTTGCCACAAAGGATGGTTAGAAAAACACCAGATGATGCAACTTCTGAAGTCCCTTTTGAAGTGCTGGCCCATGCTTGTTATCAGCAGCTAGAGAGAGATGCAAAGAGCTTCACAAACTTTCAGGTCTCACAGTGAATGGAACAGAAGGGTAAGGCCTAAAGTCCTGAGTAATGGGCAGCTCTTTCTGCCTCTCTGCCTACGGAGAACAGCAACACAAAGCCGAGATACAACACAGCACTTCCAGCCAAGGCAATCAAATGGACTTTTCCCTATTAAATAGCTAGTATCTTCAAAAAGGCCAAAATTTTATGATCTTTTCAAAGTTTATGGAAAGACAATGGTTCATCCTAAAAACAGAAGCTTTGCAATTAATTTTTTTCTTCCATTTTCAAAGAATTTGAAAGGAAAGAAAAAAAATTTTAAAAATGACACTTTGTAGAATGAAACCACTGAAGCACATTCTTTCTTCTCGCCTTTTAAACTCTCCCCAGGAAAAAATCTAAGATGAATTGGTGAGGGCTTGTCTGAGCAGGAAGCATTTATCTGCTCAATACACAGCTGTAACCATGTCGGTGCCTGAGCTTTTTTCCTGCAGCCTCTCCCAGCTCAGCTAAACAGTTTTCAATATTATAAGCTAAGCCTTATAGAAGAAAAACATAATTTTCTTAATAAAAAAAAAAAAAAAAAGAAAAATGCTTGTAGCAAAACAAGGGCATTCACATGGGTCGTTAAAACCAAATTTAACACCAGAACACATTCATGCCTTGGCTTTCATGTCTAAATTTTCCCACAGAGACAATTTCTCAGAGGAAACACAGGGGGTGGGAGGGAAGTGAGGTGGGAAATGAAGATACTTTCCCAGTGCGGGGCAGAATGGGAACCAGAAGCAAGTAGGGACAAGGCCTGAAAAGCATTCCATCAGATGTTGTTTTCCTTTATCTTTTCCACTCTTTCCCCCATTCACTTTGCAATAAGAAGAAAAGGATAGAAACCGGAGGCAGAGACCCATAGATGAACACCAGCATGTTTAAAAATTACACAGATTTTTTTTTTTCATTGTTATATTGTTGTTACTGTTTTGTTTTGAATTTTGAAGAAAAGACCTGTAATTTCTACTACAGATACCAAAATCTGACTTTCTCCATTGCATGCATTGAGTCACACTGGACATTTGCCATTTGGTCCCACTGAATACACAGATGGGAACACGGCCCCTTGGTGACAGCACGAGATGTCCTCCAGACTGAACGCCTTGGATAGCTGTGTCTCTGAACAGAGGAACGTGGTGGGCTCTGCCCATTTCATAAAGGCCAGGTAAAATAAACATTTCTTGGAAATCAGTGCCTCGTGCCCTAGAGGTCTTTTTCCCTGGATAGAAGGTGTGTGTTACCATGACTGCCAGGTCTGTCACACAAGGCCCAGCACTGTAAACTTGTAGGAATATCCAGAGTATACAGGCTCATTTTTTTTCCCACGGTGTGCATTTGTGTCTTCTCTAACACCCAGTTACCAGCTTTCTGTCTTCCAGAAATAGACAATTCCATCGCCACTGAAACTAAGGCAACAGCAGCAGTCAAAACACAGTCAGGAACGTCTCCCATATTTTGCAAAAGATTTATGTGCTGACAGCCACTGTGAAGGCATATCGCTCCTTGCTGATCGGCAACTCAAACACAAGAACCTTTCCTGGGAACATGGTGGAGTTTAAAGAGAGAAGTATGAAAACCACTATACTGGCTTCAGACATTCAAAACAGTAATGGGCTTGGCCTAAGAGAGCTCAAATACTCTGTTACCCCCTGTTTTCTGAATTTCAAGGGGCACTCAGAAAATGATGTTCCAGTCTTTCCCAGGCCCATCTGGAGCACTGCATCCAGGTCTGGGGCCCCCAGTACAGGAAGAATGTGGAGCTCTTGGAGTGGGTCCAGAGGAGGGCCACTAAGATGATCAGGGGGCTGGAGCACCTCTCCTGTGAAGAAAGTTTGAGGGAACTGGGCTTGTTCAGCTTGGAGAAGAGAAGGCTCTGGGGAGACCTCACTGTGGACTTCCAATACTTGAAAGGAGCATACAAACAGGAAGGGGAATGACTGTTTACATGGAAATAGTGATAGGAGAAGGGGGAGTTGTTTTAAACTAAGACAGGGGAGGTTTAGGTTAGATATTAGGAGGAAGTTTTTCACACAGAGGGTGGTGACACACTGGAACAGGTTGCCCAAGGAGGCTGTGGATGCCCCATCCCTGGAGGCATTCAAGGCCAGGCTGGATGTGGATGTGGCAGCCTGGTCTGCTGGTTGGTGACCCTGCACATAGCTTCTCTCTTTATTGATAACATGTTTTCTTCCTCACAAAAAAAAAAAAAAAAAAATAGCCATGGAGAAAAAAAAAACTGGAGAAATGGACAGACAGAGAGCAAGAGATGAGACGGAGAAGCTGGAGAAGAGACAGAAAGGAGCAAGAGAAGCCTGAGAGAACAGAAAGAGGAGTCAGAGAAGTCAGAGATGAACCACAGAATGCACAGAGGATCCATAGTGGAGCCATAGACGAGACAGAGGCGACAGAGAAGCTAAAGAGAAGCCAGAGAGCCATATGAAAAGTAGAGCAGAGAGGAGCAAAAGGGACACGAGAAGAGCCAGAGAAGTGCCAGAGGAGCCAGAGGGGGAACAGAGCAGAGACAAAGAAGCCTGGGAAGCAAGAGAGGAGACAGAATGGCAGAATGGTAGGGGTTGGAAGGGACCTCTGGAGAACATCAAGTCCAACCACTTCGCTAAAGCTGTTTCTCTACAGCAGGTTGCACAAGGGAGTGAGGCAGATCTTGAATATCTCCAGAGAAGGAGATTCCATCACCTTTCTGTGCCTCCTGTTCCTGTGCTCTGTCACTCACAGTAAAGACGTTTTCCTTTGTTTGTCTGGAACTTTCTGTGCTCCAGTTTCAGCCTGTTGCCTCTTGTTCTATTGCTGCTCGCCACCAATGTGACTCTTGCACTTTAGATATACATAAACAGATCCCCTCTGAGCCTTCTCCAAGCTGAAGAGTTCTTGGTCTCTCAAAGAAGCCAACATGAAACCAGAGAGGAGACAGAAAAGCTAGAGGAGCAAAAGAGAGATGACTGAGAGACAAAAGGTGCCAAAATGGTGCCAGAGAAGAGACAGTAGGCAAAGGTGTCAGTGAAGCAATAGAATCTAGAGAACCAGAGGAGCAAGAGAAGAGCCAGAGACACCAAAGAAATTACAGAGAAGGCAGAGAGGAGACAGATAGCAGATAGAAAGCCAGACTGCATCTAATTGAGACAGGAATACTTTCAGTCAGGAGTCCTTGCTTCTGGATGAGCTAAAATTTTTATAAGTTTTGCTGCATTTAGACAAAAAATGGTACATTTGCTCATTTCTGTTTTTATCAAGAGGCATTCACCTCATATTTGATCACATGCTCCTGTTTCAATTTACTTAAAAAATGAATTGTGAGCTCAATAATTGAGCTGTAGTGAGAATTACAGGAAGCCAGAAGATTTTTAAATATCTTATCATGCTATGTTTATATAGCACCTTTGTATAGAGTTTTAGTTTATAACTGGAGAGTCAATATAGCACAGCATGTGATAATATTTTGCCACACTTGGCACTGCAAAGCAAATGCATTACGTTTCTCAAGGTCCAGAGTTAATTCAGAGGGATGCAAACAGGTGAAACACCTGGGATGCAGTGTTTCCCATCCCCTGAGTTGCAGCTGGGACTGGGGGCTTTGGATGGCTGAACTGGGGCAGATATTGCAGCTTTGGGTGGTTGTTAGGACCTCTTTCAGATTGCAGCAGGAAGAGTTCTTGGAACATTGCCATCTAGGTGCTCCAAAATGATGATTCATGCATGGTTACATGGCAATATTTACTAAGCTCTCAGGAGGCAAATCCATTAGCAGAGATTAGTCAGCTGTCAAGAGCCCATTCCCTCATATAAGAGTTCTCTAAATAAAAGTTCTCATCTGTGACAGGAACTTCCATCCCACCACCTACTCGCTCATTTCATAATCCCGTAATCGGTGAGTTAGGACATGTCGTTGTGTTTTCTCAGATTGCAGAGGAAAGTAACACGGGAGAAACTGACAGTGAAAAATGAAGATTTTGTCTGCAGCAACTTTTCTCACCACAACTGAGCACAGTCAAACAACTTCTGATTCATTCGGAGCCAATTCTGCCTGTGAGGAAAAGAGACTCAGCTGGAAGCAGCTTCGTCTCCACCCAAGCGCAGCAGCCACCTCAAGAGTGTGCAGTGAACTCTGCAGAGAAACTCCTTTTGGTTGTTCAGAGTGCTGCATCCCTCCAGCAGGACAGACCACAGCCCCCAGGTAACTACTTCGTGGTTCAGGAGATGTCACATGAGTTTTTTTTGCCTGTACACGTGAATATTCAGGGCACCGGTTACTGCACTGATGACCGTTTCTCACTCTATCCGAAGAATAACTCATGGTTCAAATGGAAGGGATCTGGGCAACACAGCGTGATGGAAAGGCTGGCAGCTATTACAAAGCATGGTGAGCACAAACGGGGAATAAACTGCTCGGTCAGCAGAGCAAGATTCATTCCTAGACACATGGCTATTGAGTCTGTTTGAGCAAAACTCACTCCTAGACACGTGGCTATCTCTGTGCAGAGAGAGCTGTGGTTTTCGAGATGTCCAGCTGTAAGAGCTGTAACAAAAAGCATTGCTTCTTCAGTCTTCCGGGTCCAAAGAATTGTTCAGGCCTTCCCAGCTGTATCAGTTGGTTTAGGAAATGTTGCAGCTGCTGCCTGTAATTTTTTTTCTCTCGTATGCTTTGAAATAGATCTACCCTCAGCAGGACAGATGAGGCACACTGCAGGCCCCGCTCATGCGAAAGGTGTTGCCTTTGGAAGCCACTCCACGATCTGTGGGAGCCCCACACCTGCAGATACAATTTAACTACTTATTACTGCTTTTCTCTCCTCTGAAAAACTGCAGCAAGTCAAAGCAGCAGGAGTCTGGCCTGCGATACTGCAAAGACATGGATACTGACCCTGCCTTTGCCTTCAGTTTCGCTGCATGCCTCACCTGGTTCTCCCTTTGCTGCCGCTATACCACAAACCCTGCCAGGTCAGGTTACTGCTCTGTTATCTGGCTCTTCTAAGCCATATGTTGAAGGCCCCCCTCAGGAGGCTCTCGTGTAACATTTCAGCTCCTGGAGACCAAGTGGTCTTTCATTGGGACAGGAACAGCGATGGGAGCAACAGCAGCTGAAAAGCGTTACGAGTTGGCTCTGTGCTACGAGGTACTTTCCCATGAGAGGTCTTCAGCTGAACAGAGCAGCGGCGGTGAGTACAGAGGTTTTTAAAAAGTCTACAGCCCACCCCAGATCCAGCTGTGGGCTGTAACAGATAGACTGGAGGGCTTCTAACAGATGCTGCTTAAAGCCTTGCTGCATTTTACACCTTTCAGCTTCCTCACAAGATGAAGTAGACTGATCTGAAGTGCGTATATGTGTGGTTTGGTTTTCTTTTTTCTCCCCTTTCCCTTACAGACCGAAAGTGCAATGAAGTAGCAGCATCTATCTGCTAGCAGGGTGCACACGGGCAGCCCCACACAGCCTCTGCTAGAAGATGGACACCCACAGGAGCCTCGTGGGCACTGACAGCAGGTGTCCTGCCGCAGGGTCCTGCTTGCTCCCAGCAATGCAAGTTTCACCTGCACTCCCCCTTCTCTTTGCGCTGGCATGTATTGGTGTAAACATGTCCGCTACAGTTGTCAAGGAATCAGATAACATGTGTGAAGAAACAAAGGTCCTGAAAGGAATCCCAGATGCAACAGTCCTCGTCGGAAAGATATTCTGTTATCCAGTGCCAGTATTTGCCTTTCATGGAACAATAACTCAATACAAGGTAATGCTGTTAAATGCACTTCTTGGTATAATCCTTCAGTATTATCCTTCAGAGTATTCACTTTATTTTTAAAAATAACTTCTGTTTTTCCTATTGAGAGCGTGCTACCTGTAAAACTACAGTGTCTGCTCCAAAAGCAGTGCCTCTTATTTTATGATGTTGGCCCACAATATCAAAGGCAGATGGTGGTGGTATGGCAGTAGAGGTTGAACGTTCCCACCAATATTCTGTTTACAGTTTGTCATTGTGTGACAAATGGCAGCGGAGAGGCAGTCTGACAACATGGTGTCTGACGTGGAAGTATGGATGAAAAACGGTGCGTCACTGAATTCCTTCACGTGGAAAAAAAATGGCACGCATTGACATCCATCCATGCTTGGTGAAGGTTTATGGGAGACCTAACAGTGATGTGAGCACCATGAGGTGGTGCATTTTAGCAGTGACAACAGCAATGTGAAAGATAAGCCATGTTCCTAATGGACAGATTTATGAGTGAGGCATGCAGGCTCTTGTTCATCACTGGTGAAAGCACCTTGCTGATGGTGGTGACTATGCTGAGAAAGTGTTTGTAGCTGAGAATTTGCTCTGTCAAATAACATTATTGTGTTCCTCATCACTACTGTAGTTTCCATGAAAATAAATAGAAAGAATTACTTTCAGAGCAATCCACGTAGAATAGGAACCTACTTCCTGCCTTTAATTCTGTTCATCTTCTATCCTCTTATGGAGCAGGTCACTTTAGCTAGTGGTGCAAATTTGCCAAGCTGGTTGGACTTCAATCCCAACACAAACATGCTGCAGGGACTGCCAATGACTGGGGAGAGCGGAACATACCTGCTAAGCATAACTGCCTCTGGAAGAAAGTGCACCCAGAGAGCTGCTGTAAAGTTCACCATCCATGTTCAGGACAGCATTTTATTCCTGGACACGGAGAACAGCTTGAACCGCATACCAAACAGGCACCAGTGAGTATTGTCCTGCTGAGGGCCATTGCCCAAACCTGAATTAAAAAAATGGAAATGGAAAGAAAAAAATGCAAGGCAGCTACCAGTGGGGTGCTGATGTTCCAGGTGGCTGCTGACAAGGCAGCATCCAGCCTCCCTGCCCCAGCTGGGAACTGGAGTCTTCCTTTGTGGGAAGAGAGACAAGGCCATCAATTGCCTATGCAATACACTGCCCACTTCCACTGATGACATTGAGTTTCTTTCTCAGTAATAAGTATTTCCAGTCTAATAGATATGAAATGTAAATGTTTTAACTGAATTACTTTAAAGTCAGCATCATGATGGTTGTATTTGGTAAATCCAAATCGTGCTGCTGTGCTCTAGATCAGCAATGGGGCCAAACGTAGCTCTTGCTGAAGATAAAGGAGTGTAGAACATTCACATATTCAGTAGGAGGAAGTTTTGGATGAAGAGGTGAAGTTGAGTGATGTATGTCCATAGGAAAATGGATTGAATTCAAACAAATATCTTCACAAAAGAGGGGGGGATGGGAAGATTAACTCAATCAATGCCATTTTGGACGTTAATGCCAATCTTCATAGGTGTGGGAAGGAAGTTCCCATCACTTCTGCTGAAATCATTCTCTCCACTGGAGCCAAAACCCTGGAAGCGCAGGAACGCCTCTACATCGTGTACACAATTGCTGCATATCTCCATCTGGATTCCTCCCTAGTAACCCTGCTGCAGTACACAGATGTGGTGCACAGAAACTTGCAGAACCTGACTGTGCTGGCCAGAGACACTTCGCACATTGATTTCACAGTGAACCGTTACGTAGGACTCTCCTGGCCTGTCAAGTGTGGAGAGCTTGCTGTGCTCCACGAATTCATTCAAGTCCTACAACACAATATTGATTCACAGCATCTCTCACAACTCCTGCGATATGAAATTTCAGGCTGGAGAATACATAGGAGAGGGAGTTGCAAAAAAAAGCCTCTGAGACAACAACGCAGGCAATTAATGATCACGCCAACACCTACATTGAAGGCAATTAGAATTACCCAGAGACCAGCTGCAGTTACTCCCCGTCCTTCATTCTCTGCTGTGCCAAGTCATTTGCTCTTACAACTTGCTGTATCACTTACCCAAAGTTTATATAAAGATAGTATAACAACAAGTTACCAGTTGCAGAACAACATCCATTCTGTAAGTCAAGAAAGTTCAGTCACCTTAAAAATGGACTCAGCTTTGGACATGCCAACTAATAATCCAACTGTAGTTGTTATGTTTGGAGATACTGGTTCTTCAGATCTTTCACCTTCTCTGGTTCCTAAATCAGTGCTTCTCTTCACTGAGCAGAAAGCGCTGCCCAGCAGAGCTCCTGGCATGTCCTTGCTGCTACAGCAACCTGAGCCTCACGTGTCTCAGACAGACTTATATTTCCATTCTAGTATAATGGAAGTATATGGATCCCACCTCCTGCAGGACATCACCTCAAATACAGACCTGCTTCCCAGACCCATGTACACTCTGATGATAAACACTCTTCATGAGCAGCCCCATAACTTGACAGAAGCACTTTCTTCAAAGACAGAACATCATGTATTTTTGCCACAAGAAACGTCAACATCAGAAATGCCGGATTACAGTGATAAGGCAAAAAGCCACATTCCAAAATCTGAAATGCTTTCTAGTGCAACCCTGTCTCTAGAGAGGCTTCAGTCTCTATCCCCAAACACTTTGCTAACAGCCACAGCTTCATCTGATTTCACATTTCCCATCAATTATATATTTCCACCTCCACCAGCAAGTAGTAGCCCAAGCCAGGAGTTAGCTCATGGCCATGAACTATCATCTAAGTCTTCTGTGACTGTGCCATCATCCTATAGGCTTCTATTTATTGAAGGAAAAAGCACAGTTTCTTCTGTAATCCAATCAGAAGCACAGATCCTCTATCCCAAACTGAATTTCCATACTGAAATCTCAGCCTGCTTTTCTAGCTCTTCGTACAGCCCTTTCCCTGGGGAAGCTGAAACATCTTACGAATCAAGTCTGCTCATTCTGTCCCATCCTGATAGCACTCCAGTTCTTACTCTTACACCACCAATTGTACATTCTACTTATGGTGATAGCATGCTCAAAACACAGATGCAGTCTCCAAGTATTTTATCCACAAAGGAGTTGCACTCAGGCAGAGATCTGGGAACACAAATGATTTTGCCAAACATCACTGCGCCTACCCTGGAGTTCCACAAAATCTCAGATGTATTGGTTGATACCACAGAAGTATCCCTGGTGAATTTATTTACTGCCACGTCTCAACCGTTCAACAGTGTGCCAGGTATGTTATAAGATTTAACTTTCCCTTCATTTTATTTCCTGCTGGGAGGGAGAGTCCTAACAAAATAGATAAACGTACTTTACTCTGCATCAGCACAACCACACTGCACTTTGGATACGTCAGCAACAGAGTTCCTTGTAAGAGAAAGTAATTTTATCTCTCAGCTTCGTACATTTCCCCTAATGACAACCAGACCCAGCTCTGGCCGTCCTATCTCAGGAAAGATATGGACCCGTTGAAAAAGATCCAAAGGAACACAGTGATGGTCTGAAGACTAGAAAACATGACATAAATGGAAAGAATTAATCTAAAAGACTGAGGAAAGATGCAAGTTTATGTAACAGCTTGCTGAAAAGATGAAAGAACTGTTCTCCACATCCCGTGGGAACAAAAGCAGCACTAATGGCTCTATATTACACTTCAGTTGATGTAAGTTAAACACTAGATAAACTTTCTCAGAGCAAGGATAGTAAGACATAAGATTACTTGGGGAACACTGGAACAGTGTATTAAGAACACAGCAACAAATATTTATCAGAAATGACACAAATGTAGCTGAACATCCCACATAGTAAAAAATCAGACTATACATCCTTCAGAGTCCTCCTCCAAGTGCATGAATCAGAGTCAGGCTTAAGTATACGCTAGACTTCAAGAGATAGTTTATAGGACCAGTTGGGTAAGTCTGAAGGACTGTCTGAATCTGCTTCTATTATCCCTTTAAAAAGGTGTGTGCTAGAACTTAAATTTCAAGTAAGCTCACGCATTCAGAGCCAAACTCTTCCTTCATTCTCAAGCAAAGTCACTGGCCCTATTTTTGTAGAATAGACCCAATAAATGTCTTTCTGAAGTATTTTTTTTCTAAAGGTCTTCTAGACCTATCTTATGCCTATACCCAGAGTGCAAAACTGCAGCTTGAAATGTTTAGGTTTGTAATCAGGTGCCTAAGCAACCAGCTGTGAAAACCCAGATAGGTAACACAACACTAACATAACACTGCTATTAACACTTGCAAACACAAACCATCTAGAGATTGTCAAAACTCTCTGCTCCCAGTGAAAGAAATTGCCTGAGGAAAGGCTCCATTGATTTTCCAAAGGAGAGGTTAAGCATTACCACCCAGGAAATATAATCCTGTTAGTCCCCCAAATGCTACATTTTCCAACGCCATTTTCACCCAATGACTAAAATCTTGAATAGTGATCTACATGTTACTGACATTAATGCCTAATGCATCAGGTGTGTAAGGTATTGCAAGTATTTTACAATCTTATCACAGTATTTTTTCATTACAGTGTTTCATATTGTAATGGCTGAGAAATTAAGACAAAATACACAATATGCCAAAGCCCACTGAAGGACAGAGCGGTCCCACAAGGTATTCCCACTGAAGAAAGGTGCTGATGTATTCAGTGCCTACATAGCAAATCAGTTCCAGAGACAAGATCAGAATCCAGTTCACTTTACAGCCATAACATGAGATAAGAGTCTAACAGCAGAAACTCAGATTCACACTGCTTTCTCCTCCAGCTTCCTTCCCATGGCTCTAACTTCACTGGCAGATGCAGCCAAAGAATTTTTAAATACATGCCATAAAAGATTATTATTTTTTTTAATATTCCCAACTGTATAGCAAATTATTACAATTACATATTTTACATACATTTAAGCAATCTTCTGCCTAACACTGTAATAAACAGTACCTTGTTTTCACAGAGCTGATTCAGACACTACCACCATCACACCAGGATGCAAGCACCTTGCAATTTCCTACCGATGAAACGCTACGATCTGCAGAAAGTACAGGGATTCTCCCTCTATCTTCTATTTCACAAGAGCTTGAGAATAAAACCCCAGGTAAAAAAAAAAAATGCTTTTCTACTTATTGATGTCATCCTCCTCCTTAGTGATCATGCAAGGTATTGCTGGCCTCCTATACCAAAACTCTTGTAGTATGGGGTCATATCACCATAACACTCAAAGCATCCTGACTCTAAACTTTGTGCCCTTTGAATTAATCTCTCCTCTTTTTTTGATTAGGTAAGTAGTATCTGAGGAGATGATTAGCCTAGAGTGCTATTTTACTAGATCCAGCAAAGTGTTCCCTGTCCTGGTGTTGAAAACACAAATAAACGAGATAAATGAGAACTAGCAGGAAAAAATGAACATCTCTGTCACAGACTGTGGGAATTCTCTGAGTTCTCATCTTCACCCTTACTCTTTGAGCCTGCCAGCAAGTTTGACCCAATAGTCAGACATTTCCTTTTCAAATTCATCACCACATTTTATCTTCCTCACAGCTCACTTGGTGTCTGCCTATGTATTCAATCATAAGAGCTCTACAAACTGAGCAGATGCATTGCTGCCAAGGCAAATGCTGCCCCAGGCAGTGTATCTGCCATCTCCAGAAGTTGGGTGATGGTGCTGGCACCCAGTGTCTGCCTGATTAACCTGAAACTGTTCTTAATGATAGGCATGGCACAACAGTGCAAAGAAAATACAAACATTCCCATGAGATTCCCAGACAAGAAATCCATGTTTGGTGTTGTCGATAGAAAACGAAACAATAACATGTTAAGATTTACTTCATACATGAAATCTTCTGAATCTAACGGAGCACTCACCATCAGAGCTGTTCCAATTCCTTACAGAGCTAAGAGTTTTTTCTTCAAGATTTGCTTCTGTTTCCAAAGAGAAGACCTTACTCAGAAACCATCTATATTTTTCTGCAGTGGGGATCTCAGCTTGTGCAAACACACTGCCAGGGGCTCCTGTAAATTTAATTTGGGAATGACTGTAAATCATCTGAGGAGAACCCTGCTAATGAGATACCTGTGCCAGAGCCTTCAATTGTTAAGGTATCAGAGCACCATGCGGTTTCCTGCTGGGTAGCTTCAGACTGTAGTCCCCACTGATTTGAATACACTATCCAATTGTACAAGGAAGGACCTGTAAGGTTACATAAACTTTCCGTAACACAGGATGAAGAAAAAGAATTGAAAGAATTTTGCAATAATAGGAAGGAACACTGCACTTACTCCTTGATACTTACAACATCAGAAATGGGACATGATTGCAGGCATGAAGAGTATATCCATAATCTGAGAGCATGCTGTGGTAACTCTATGAATTAGATTAAGATATACTTTTGGGGAAAAGGCCTTACTAATTTATTATACTAGTTAGAAGTGTCTTCGTATTTGTTTCAATAAACACATCACTGCTATATATGCTTCAACGTAACAGGAGAATTGTAAAGTCACATGTAAAATTCACACCCAAAAGCACATGAAATTCTCATCAAGATGTGATCAAGGGCAATGTTTCACAGTATCATTATAAGCTTATCATTAATAAGCTTATCAGATAGCTATTTTTCTTCATAACCCTTTTCCTTTCCTCATCCCTCTCTAAAGGGCAAACGAACACTTCTCCAAAGGTCGTTCATTCAATCCAATTCATAACAGCAACTATTGGATGCCTGTTCTCTTTTCCTGTATCTGCCAACACATTTTACGATGAGGAAGATGGCAATTCAACTCAGTTATCTTTACAGTTAATTCCAGCTGATGACTCTCCAGGGGGATCAGAAAGCTGGCTTCAATTTAATGCGTCTCAGCAGACCATGCATGGCTATCCCCTTGATATTGATTTCCAGTATTCACCTCAAGAGTTTGTTCTGTCTGCCACAGATTCAGGGGGACTGACTGTCTGGCAATCCTTCACCATTGAGCTTCTGAAGCCCACAGATGTCCCATGCCACCTTTACACCATCAGAACCAAAAACAGCTATTACTCCTTCTTGAGAGAGAGGAAAAGGATTAGTTTATTTCTAGAGAAGCTCTCCTTGTATTTGAACTCCACCAATCCCAAAGACATCGTGGTGACCACTCTCAGACCTGGATCCACACTAATCTCATGGTACAACAGTTCGCTGTGTACAAGTGCCAACAGACCTTTCAGCTGGTGTGCAAAAGAGGAAATCCAGGAAGCACTAAACAAACTACGAGTGCCAGATGGATACGTTAGCCCACGTTTCATCCAAGCAATGTTACCAGAATACAAGGTTGATGTCATCTTCAATATTTCATATAGTGATAACTGCTTTCCCACTACAAAGCCATTTGGTGGATCTTTCAACAGTACTGCGCCTATGCTTCAAGACTGGCATGACTCCAATATCATAAAGCCCCCATCAGCCTTACTAAGCAGTCTTTGTGTCACTGTCGGGTTGGTTCTGCTCGCATTACTTTACTGTTCTTGCAAGCATTATAGCAAGATTCCTGAATCCAAGTTTATGACTTTTCAGAGCAACTCCCAGCTTAGCCATGCTGATGTGGCAATGGATGTCCTGCAGCCTCGAGAAGTACCTGTACATGAGTGTGGGGGATCACCACCACATTCCTCATGGCTGCCACCTTTGTTATCACTTACCTCCCCAGAGCAGTATTCCAGGTCAGGAAGGTTGCCTCATATCTTCCCAGCCACCAAAATATCAACTCCCACCCCGTTACCAAGAGGGTACAACTACTCAAAATGACTGGGGCAGTATCTGTAGATTTAAGATGACATCTTCTAAATGATAGCAAGAGCAAATATACAAATAGACAATTTGCATGCTAGGAAGTACTGTCCGTATCGTGCAGGAAAAAATAGGAAAAAGCTAAGTATTTAATTTTTCAATTTCAGATAGGACATAAGTTACATAAGCTATGCCTAACGAAGAGGCATAAGCAGAATCAGAATCCTGAAACTAAGTATCAGAACAAAATGCCAAATACATAAGGTAAAGTTATCTATTATTAGATAAGGTGGGCAGATATTATTATTAGATAAGGTGGACAGACTAACATGTCTGTACCAGTCAGTCAAAAAATGTATACCATACTGATGCTAGTAGGACTGAGCCAAAGTTGAGTGAAACCAATTTCATTATGACTCCATATATTTTGTGAAGAAAGCAGAACTGTCAGGAGAACCACAACAAATGCCAGTGTTTCCACTGAAACTTGAAGGCCCTACAAGCCCTGAGTCTGTGTTATCCTATAATTATATCCATATCTTTTAAAAAAATAAGAGCTCCCTAACATGAAATGCTTCTCTTCCCATGTCATTGTATAATGTACTTTTATAATTAGATTTTCAAGTTACCAGCTTGCTTTCTTATAGCAAGACTGGCTCTTATTCTGCTTCTGTCTGTGGCAATTCAAGGATGATGGTAGAAAAAAATTGCATAAAAAATTTTGTAAAAGCTTTTCAGATATTTTGGAAATCTTTCAGTTTAACAGACTAACATATACAAAGTTTTATTCATTACTTCCAATTATAAACCACTTTAAAACTGCAAAAATCCTCTATGAATTCGGTCTATTGCACATGATGCTATCAAATTATCACCAATACCACTTTGAAAGGAGATGCATACAGAGCGCCCTTTCCAGAATTACCCCAAGACTCTATTGGAGAGAGTGGAGAGCCACAGATCATCAGACCATTGACATTACAACTGCGATAATGAAACAGGTTTAACTTTGCTCTTTCAGGCAATCATAAAATGACATATACGCAGGTTTCGGTCTCATTCACTCTCAGAATCATAGATTCTTTTCTTGCTGTAGATTCGTGGTAACATTTGTACATCTCACGCACTGGGAGAGCTCCTCCTAATCAAAGAACAATAGAACAGCTTGGGTTGGAAGGGACCTAAAGAGTCACCTAGTTTCAAGTGCCCTGCCACAGGCAGGGCTAGCAACCGCTAGAGCAAGTACTAGATCAGATTGCCCAGAGCGCCACCTAACACAGCCTTCAATACAATCAGGGTTTTGGCATCCACAACCTCTCTGGGCAACCTGTTCCTGTAACCATGATCTTACCAGGCACGGAAATGAGACTGACTGGCCTGTAGTTCCCTGAATCTTATTTTCCCTTCTTCAAAACTGGGGGTTATATTTCACCTTTTCCAATCAGTGGGAACTTCACCAGACTACTATGACCTTTCAAATATGATGGATAGCAACTTGGCAACTTCATCTGCCAGTTCCCTCAGAACTGGATCATAGAATGGCCTGGGTTGAAAAGGACCACTAAGATCATCTAGTTTCAACCCCCCTGCTATGTGCAGGGTCGCCAACCACCAGACCAGGCTGCCCAGAGCCACATCCAGCCTGGCCTTGAATGCCTCCAGGGATGGGGCATCCACAGCCTCCTTGGGCAACCTGTTCCAGTGTGTCACCACCCTCTGTGCGAAAAAATCTCCTCCATGGGATCTCATGGGATCCCATAGACCTATGCACCTTCAGGCTGCCCATGAGCTACATATAATTCACCAGCCCCTCCTCCTTGTGAGGACAACATCCTGCATAGCACCTTTTCTGGTGGTTTCCTGTACTACTTGGAAGAGGAAGTTAGCACCAACATACTCCAGAAACCTCTTTGATTTCTGTTGCACTGCCATGTTGTTCTTCCAGCAGATACTGGGGTGGTTGAAGTCCCCCATCAGAATCATGTTTTGTGAATATGAATCTGCTCCTACCCGTCCATAGAAGGGCTCATCCATTTTGTTTTCCCAATTAGGCAACCTGTAACAGACATCCACTGTCTCCTTCGCCTGCCCTCCCTTTAACCCTAACGCATAAGCTCTCTGTCAGCTCCTTGTCTACCCCAAGATGGAGCTCCGCAGACTCCAGGTGATCATTACGGCAAAGGCAAACGCCCTCCCCTTCCCTCGTGCCTGTCTCTCCTAAAAGTTTATTCCCACCTATTCCCACATTCCAGTCCTGAGAGTCATTCCAACAGATCCCCTTGATGCCAATGACATCATAGCCCAGTAGGCATGCTCATGCCTGCCAGTCCTCCTGCTTGTTACCCATGCTCTGAGCTTGTACTGACGTACAGGCACTTGAGCGGGACTCCCATTGAGGCTGACTACCCATTTTGACACTCAAAGGCCAAGTCAACAAGAGGGTAAATGTTTTAAAGGGCACATTTATGCTGACCTCTTGATTTACCTTTATTTCTCACAAGGGTCCCAAATTCCTCAGTGTTTGCACTGCATCTGGGTTTCACCCTGTAACCCAAGTTACATAGTTTCCCTTACTGGAAAAGGGAACCATAAGTCAACCTTGAGCCAGCATACTAATAAGTTCTCCTGTATTTGCTGAAGACCCTTAAGTGCATAACTGTTTGCCTTACACTCTCCCAGGGGCTGCACACAAGGAAACAAAGCTTCTCAGAGCAGGAAAACATAAGGTAACTATAGTATCACAGTGTGATCTTACTGCCAGTTGTACAGTGCAAACTAGTGATGAAATCCAACTGAACGGTATGTATAAAAGCCACGCCGAACACAGGGCAGCCCAACAACCACCAATACTGCTCTGACACAGCACACTAAGAAGCAGATAGCTAGCCAATGGATAGTTTGTGCAGGCTAAAGAGCATGGACATCAGTGCATGCTCCTACTGTTAGAAAAGTGAGCAGAGCCAGACCCAGTGAAGCAGCAGGCAGGGAGATGAACAGTGACTATTAAACCACAAGTGAGAAAATGTTGCTGACCTATTAAGGTCTTTGAAGGAACAGTGGGTGCTTTACAAATTTAATAGCTGTGAAAGGATTTACTTTGTGCATAAGCTAGTAGCATTTGTCTCTGCAACTTTGATTAACTTCTAAAATAAATATAGTCTTCCAGCTGACAAATCCACATTGGCAGAAGACAACCACCTGTAAGTCAGGTCTCATGTTTGATGCAAAAGTCAAACCAACAGTAATTTCCTACCACCAGAAGACGAGACATAAGGTTGGCAAGTTAAATAAGCTACCTTGACGTGCAGCGTATTTAGAACTGCTGATCAAGCTACCCCAAGCCAGGCTATAAGAACAGAACCAACACACATCCTGAAATGAGACTCTGCCATTGATTTTTTGGGACAGACTTTAGATGACCTTGATGAACTTATGATCTTTCTGCATTACTTTTGTCCTATTATTGAATTTTTAAATGAAAACTGGAGTGTAGTGAACATATAGATTTGTTTAAGGTAATGACTGTACTGAGGTGTGATGGTGTGTACCAGTACTATGGTGAAAATGTTTAGATGTAGTCTTGGTGTCTTTTAAATTATTGAGTTCATCACTTAACTCACAAACAAGAAACACCTTTAATTTCTACTGCAAACTAAGCTATTGGAGGAGAAACCAGAGTTGTTTTTCATTTCTTTTCATCATCCACATTTCAAAAATCTGGGCAGAAAGGCCATTAAGTAGTAAGTAGTAACTTACTACTCAGTAAGTAGTATGTCACACAAGCAACATATGACTTTAAAATGAAGATGCACAGGACTACACATTTAAGTTTATTTCTTGGATAGCAATATCTGATTTTCAAGATAAGAAAAGAAGGTCTCAGACTTTAGGGGTATCAAAAATCATATACTGCTTCTGTGAAAACTACATACATCTTTAAATGTTATCAAAATAGTATCAGGCAAGTACTCTTTTCTCACTGCAAAAAAATGGCCCTACAATCATTTAACAAATCACACTTACTGTCTAATTGTGGCTACCAATATAAATATACCAGCATGATATTCGTGTTCTGAATTAGTCACCATAAAGTATAGCCTTTCAAGTTTCAGATTAAGAAATATAAACATATTGAGTTAGTTTTAAGACTTCTTTCTGAGCTTTTCTATACTGACAAACTAATATATCAAAGCTGCGGGACCTTCAGTTGCTTATTCAGGCTAAAATAAAGCAATAGGAATAGACCAGAGGAAAACTGATAGAACCACTAAACTCAAGTGGAAGCACAGAAAGACTGGGAATTAGTTTCTGAATGAGGTTTTAATTTTTTATTTTTTATCTCCATAGCTTCATGCCCTGCTCTTCTACAGTTGGCATGCTGAAGGGATCAGCTACTTGGAGGGATTAGCAGAGATACTTTTGAGGGAAAAAAGAAAAAAAAAAAAGACTGATAATCACATTTGTCACTTCTTAGCCATATTTGGATATTCAGAATAAGCTTCCCCTTTATAAGCATTAGGGCCTAAACTGGCCTAAAGCCACAGGTAATTTGGTAATTGGAGGTAATTTGGAGGGTATATTCCATAAAAAAAAAACATTTAATGGTTAGCAAAAAATTTATTTCTATTTTGTTTAAAAACAGTCAATTCCAGCATAACAACCTGAAAGATCTTGCTTTCTAAAGTTCATTCCTAACAAATTTTAAAAAGTTCTGAAGCCAACATTTAGTCTTTAAAACCACTCACACCCCCACCCCACCACTTGCATGAAAACCAAGACTGACATTCTCAGCTCAGCAACAAGGTGTTCAGTGCGCGGTCTTTTCAATAACTCTGGATGCCTGAGAAGTTTTCTATAAATAAAAGTATTAGTGAACTGAAATTAACAGTATCAGTTATTTATCAATTGAAACTGAAGCTCTTCAATACAGTCAGTCAGAACTGTATTAAATACTTATGGAAAAGGACTTTAAATTCAGATCATCTTTGACAATTTCATTTAGTCCTCGGCAGCAGAGGCTTTCTTCATTCTTAGAGGTCGACTGTACAGTACTTCAGGACAGGCTATTTGCACACCATTCAGTGCGATACGTGCATTTTACAGTTCATAGAAAAATAGAAATACAAAAGAGTAAAAACAAAAACAGAACAATTGTACTAAATGGTACCAATTTTAACTCCAACATCATGGTGTTCTATTTTTGTT